TGCACTTCATTAGTTTTACCTGTCCATAAGCATACATGGTCACATTGTAACCCTCCAGAGCTTTTTTTAACAGTGGAGAACCAAGATCGTGAAAAATTTGTTCCTAAATAAAAAAAAACATGAAAAAGACATAAGAACTTTTAATACAGTCTGTTTTTATTAATACTAAAAAAATTAAACTGTTAAAATTAAAGCATAAGCCGAGGACAAAATCCTCAAATGAACATGATTCAGATATCAATAGAAAAATAACAATAATAAGAATAACAGTAACAATATAATATTATTATAACAAATATATCATTATTATTACTATCATTATTAGAGCAATTTTACTTGACCCATGAAACAGATCCTAACAACTGGTGCAAAATAGCTAAAATTAAACTGAAAGGCACACTGGAATAAGTGGAGTATTGTGTGTAGTATTCTACTACTTTTTTCACAGGTTAAGTAAAATCATTCTCTTCTTCTTCTTCTTCTTATAATAATTATATTGTATCTCCTTGATATTTATTTTTTTGGTGAAGTTCTAAAGTTCATTGATAATGCTTTGGCAAATTAAAGTGAGAAGTCAGGAATATAATGTCCAGTAGATACAATAATATTACTACTAAAAATAAACTGACATCTGAATCATGATCATGAGAGGAATATTAAATGAAGCCCTGCTCAGGGAATTTTCTCTACAAACAAAATTTCCACAGCAGTGGTTGCAGGAAAGTGATATATTTGACAATTCTTATAAATTACAGCACTTGAGCATAAATTGAATTTTGTCATTACAATGTAGTTAGAGCACATTTATATAATTGACTGCATACTTACAGTTTTTGTGTCCCAAAAGTAACTGTGATCAAAACTAAAGGTATACTCCTGCATGTAAACAATACAAACAACATATTTCTGATGAGTATTAGCAAGACATTGGGGCAACAATGTGTATAGAAAAAAGACAAGACCTAGCTACATGTAATTGAATGTTCCATGAAAGCTGAAAGAGGTAAGAATATTTTGGCAAGTTTGAGTAGGGGTTTGAGCTAAGTAAGGAGTACCATGATTCCCCACACATTTCAAAATAAATGTTCCACGGCCTATAGAATCAAAAAAAGATTTCAATTGAAAGATTTTAGGAGCAGAAAGATTTTGTTGAGACAGCACTTTCTCCAATCTCACCAACAAGCTGATCTGTGGTAAAATATATATCAATTAGTATACAGGTCTCAACTTTGTGTCATTTTCTTTGTTTATAAAGCAGAAGAAGCAGAAAATATAAGTATCATGGATATTAATGACAGAATAAAACTTTCTTGAGGGTATGAATTAAACTTCCATAACTTCAGATGACTTTTCCAAGTTACAGAAAGAGACAACTTGGAGCACCTGGCATGCGTTTTTTTAATAATTTGTTTTGTTTACACTTGTTTTTACTCACCTTTGTATTAGTTCCAGGGTGTGGATTATGTATTACTGTTTTTTCAGCACTCATTTTCACCACTCTTGTGGCAGCTCGACCCTTTTCACTTTCTGTGTAATAAATATATTTGCATAAGTGATGTGAGGTAAAGTGCTAACATACACCTCCCTTTTGGAAATACCATTTATCTCTAAGGTCCTGATACATACTTAAAAGATTGGCCCAAAGCGGCTACTGGTATTAATTTAAAGAGGGGTGCTTAACCTGTGGGACCTTCTCCCTTTAACCCATTGAAACCCAGGAGTGCCACCCAGGTGGATCAAAGGGGATGGGGAAGGGAATGTGGAAAGGGAAGAGGAACCCCTCCACCGCCTCGTTCTTTCACCCCTAGGGTTGCTATTTCTACTCGTTGCAATCATCCCCATGTGATAAAATCAAGGACGGCAGCCACAGCAATACAAATATTAATCAGGCCCCAGTTGTTTGAAAGGTGGATAACCATATCCACTGGATAAATCTCTATCTACTGGATAGTGCAATTGGTTTCTCTAATATTTACGTGTATCTGCTGGATAGTGATTTATCCACTGGATAGCACTATCCGACGTTTCAAAAACCGGGGCCAGAACTATAACAAAATTCTCAAATCTGATTGGCTATCAACTGTCCTGATTTCAGCATTAATAGGAAAGTGTAATAGGACAGCATGCATCATGCCAAAGTAATTGGACAGTATTTGCCATCATGCACGAATGTACTTGGATGGATTTGTTTTCACTGCTAACAAAATACTCTCTGAATTTCTTGTGTTTTAAGGCCTAACATATAACAATAATTGTTAATTATTAATTTTGTTATACATGTAGTTTTGATTATTGGTAACAGAACTTTGTGTCATCCAGTTTGGTCTGTAATATTATTATACTCCTGATTGAACAAATCGTGATTAACAAATTTTGTTAATCACTCATATGATTCATAAAGATGATGTGACCTGTGGAAATACAAATTTAAATAAAGATATGATCGTCCCAGTGGTAATTTCAAATTAAGCAAAAGCAAATTAACACCCCCCCCCAAAAAAAATCGGAACTTCAATGGGATTCAAGCCCATGGCCTCTGTGTTATTGCTGCAAAACATTGAGAGCAGGCCAACTTGTTGAGTTCATCTTAACCGATGAAAGGAATGAAATTAAACATAAAGATGATGTAAACTGCAGAAATACAAATTTAAATGAAGATATGATCATCGCAGTGGTAATAACAATTTCAGAAATTGCAAATTAACCCCCCAAAAAACCATATGATTACTGACTGAACTGGACTCCCTTCAGTCTTATAAAATAACTAAGATAGTACGCGTGCTCTGATTGGCCGAGAGGCGTGTTTGCATGAGAGTATGTAAACATGGATCGTGACAACAAGATGTCTCGCTTTTCGCGTGCAAGCATGAATTTGAAAAAGCTTTTGAGTTGAAAAACTTGTCAAGTTTACTTTATTTACCCGTTTCCTCATCGGCTGAAACTTGGAAAATCTTTAGAAACATGCACTATCAATGTTTTTTTGCTAGAGCTGACATTTTAAGCAAGAAAAACTTGTATTTTGGAAAGCATCTTCTCTGCAAAACAAGGACTGATTATGTGTACAAGCTTCGTGTACAAGGCTTCGCGACTGGTAAGAATTTCTCTTTTAATCAGTGCTCTGAACAAGAGAGTTTTGCTTTTTTGCTCTTGAAAGTTATTTTGTAAAAGTGATAGAAAACTTTTTTCCTGTCTTTGCATATCCTGAAAATGTTTTCCGTGTTTGCATAGCCTGATAGAAACACTCGAGGGGTTGGGAAAATTCTTCACAGTAATGCAAACCCTTGATTTCGTCTCAGGTTTTCATAACTGTCTTGAATTCTCGCAATCCCTCTCGTGTTTATATCAGGCTATGCAAACACGGAAAACATTTTCTATTGCTTAACTGTTACCATTTTTGTCCCACCCAAAACATATGCCTAACAAATATAACAATTATAACAAAAATAATTACTATTATGTAAGATAGGAATAACGAGTAATAATATCTCAATAATACAGACAGCTTATGTGAGCACTTGGCTCAGTCCCTTTTGGTATCTGTATAAAGGAGGTTTGATTGTATTACAAGAATAAATAGACAAATTCCTCAATTTTTCAGCAATTATCATATCAATTTGTGAATATATTCACATATTGATTGCTCGGTTACAAATCTTCAAAATCTTAGTGTTATATTATCATTAGACACTTATCAGGTAACAGATCAAGTAAAAATACTAAATGAGTTTGACCTGAACAGAATGAGCACATCATATACAAGTACATACAGACGGTTTCTCCTTGACTGTAAAGTGACAGTAACACTAGATATCGCGAGGGTAAAAATTTGATCAGCAAGGATCCTATACCAAAAGAACCACATTTTTCCAGTGATTAGGATCAAAGTTTTACCCCTGCATGCGACGCGTCAAAAGTCATAGACAGTCATAGAGGGAACAATATACATGCATATACATGGTATCTTTCTTACTATTAAAAGTACTTAAGCTTCAGTTTATATTAGCTCTAGGCTTAATATAAGGTATCACTTTTACACGGGGATATTTAGTGAAGAAGTCAGTTTTGCTTCGAACCATTTAAACCTAGCAAAAAGATAGTTATGAGGCTTATGAGGAGCAGGCGAGAAAATATCACCTACCATTGAACGGCCTGCAGCGGGCAGCCACCCGAACATTTGTCTCTCCAGAAGTCTTCATGAAGGAAAACAAGAGTTAATAAGCTTGTTAAAGAAATAATGGTGTAAAGTGCAAAAACTTTTCAATTACCATTTTAGTATTTTTCGGGTAACACAGGAATTTAGTGCAACACAAACCCGCCGCGATAATGTGCGCTGCGGCTTCCTTGCGGGCTCGTGACGTCACGATCAAAACATAGCAACACCGTGTAAACAGCCTGGGAACCACTTCTTGAGGATTGGAAATGTTCATATTTTGTATCGGATATTTGGTTAAAATACAAAAACGTTCGTCGGATTAAAACTATGGACCAGTATATCACTATTTTTTTAGCATGCCAGTTAATACATTTGTATATATATTTACTGATCGAAACTCCAGCCATTCATTTCATTAGTTTCCAGTCTAATAGAAAATCATCCAGCAAGCTACAGTGAAGAAAAATTCGTTGTGTAATCGCGTTCTGTGAGATGTATTTTCCTTAGCCGAGAAAGTACGACCTGTGTGCGTCGATTTTACATGAAACGCGCACGATCGCGCGAACGCGCGCCGCGCTGCCTTGCGCCGACCCTATCAGGAGGAAGTTCCCGTACGCCAATGAAAAATCGACGATCCACCAGCCGAGGGACTACTTTCAGTTAAATTTGCATTTTTAAATGCCTAAATCCAAAAGCTAACAATAGTTAAAGATCAAAAAGATTATTTTTCCCGCTGTGTTCCGGGGCTTGGGCCGGTATTGCGCGGCTCCATCTAAAGATAGCTGAAGGATGATTGACAGTTGCGTCTAAGAGCATGCGCAGTGAATTCCCTTCATTCCAGCGGCAAGTCGGCACATAAATAGAATACCCGAAGCAAAGCTGTATGCATGAGTGAGATTTGTATGAAAGAAAGTCTTTATTTTGTGACGGATGAAATCCAACTCACTGTTATTTGGAGGGTGACATGTTGGCCGCAAGAAAACGCATAGTTCAGAAGCTATGCATTGCATTGTAGCGGATTCTGTATCCATAGTTCCAAGAGAAAAGCCGACCAGACCGATCGCGGTTTGTATCTCTGTGTAGAATGACCGATGCTCGCAAGCCGCGAAGATGCCAGGTTATAATGCTGGACGATCGCCGGTTAGATCTTTTGGTTCAGGTAACGTAAATGTCTGTTTTGACCAGCTCGACGATTTAAAAAGTTCGCAAAAGCCAGGGGATTTGTTACAGTGAGGCTAATATCATATGTGAATATGTTTCCCGCTTTCAGCCTCGTCTTATGGTTTGCGATCTACTGGATATGGTCGCTTCTCAAGTCGGGCTACACGAAAAGGAATATTTCGGTCTTTCCTACCAAGATGACATGTAGGTTGATTAGTATTATTTGTACAATGATTTTAACAGCTTAAACGGTTTATTTTGCTTAGTAAAGACACGCTAAACTTGGCATAAAAGTGATGTAAACATTTCGCTGTCGTTCCTTCTTAAACCACTACGGCACTAGCTCTCTGAACAAGTTTTTCATTTAGTTTTGTAAATGTTTCAATTTTTTGTTTTAAAACCATGAAAGCCCTTGGGCGGAAACGTTTACTGTTTGCCAGTTTAAAACCGTTTCAAGACACTTTATAGCTTAACTCGTTGTCTTAAGGAGTATGTTTAGGTTAATTTGATGTGTTCCAGTTTTCATTGTGGAATTATCTAAATTCTCTCCAATTTTGCTCTGGCGTTCCTCGCTGGGCTGAAACTAGTATTTCACTTTTGTCTTGCTGTTACACTTGGATTGTTCGAATTTATTAAGTTAGTTCTCAAATTTGAAATTCCCAATTTAATAATTTTATTTCCTCTGGCAAATTTACCGGTTTTCGAGTGCATAAAACATATAGGCTTTTAGATTTGAATATTTTGCCCTGTTATCCTCGGGGGGCATTGTTGTTTTTTCTCACAGAACCTTGCTGATTTCTCGCTGTTTTTAGCCCGTATGTTCAAGGCTCAACGAGTGAACGTATTCGCTCATCAAAACAAATTGAATTTCATCGCTATACTTAGCACAAGGTTACTAGGCGCTAGATCATACTAATTACGCTAATCACGTTTGGACGGTGAAATTTTTGTCACATGGATAACTCCGAAACACGTTATTTTTCTTTACACACAAACCACTTTTGTTATGTGTTCAGATCTGTAACATAGTTTCTGAACGTTATGGATTTCCGTAAAAGAAGCAAATTTAAAGCATTTCCTGGGTCAATTCTGTACCAGGAAACTACGTAAATATAGCCAACTTTTTGTCGCTGTTGGGTGACGATAGAAGGGTGTTTTACAAGAGGATGCCCCTAATGAGATTAGAGATGTTCCTAAGGTTTTTATGCATCATATTCCTATTTTTTCTATACCCAAAGCAAACAGGCTGAAACATTGGAACTGCTTAATTGAATTCCAGTTATTGGCATCCCAACTTCTCAATTCAAATTTACTACAACATAAACTTTATCTTTCTATTCTTCAATGCCCAAAATGACGAGAACGATTTGATTGCATGTACCCTATTTAAAAACAAAACCAGTCGTTTACATGTATGTGATTATTGCGAGTCATTAAAGATATAATTGAATTACATGCCTACTTATGATTTAAATTATCTGCTTGGAATAAGAAGTGACACCAGGAAAGTCTATGTTACTGTCACCGGCTAGACATGTCTTGAATTTCTTAAGAAAATAACACAAATAAAATATTGAAACCATCAGATGCAATCATTGGAAAACATTTCAGTTTCATGTGAGCTTTAAGTGTATTTATAGTTTTGGTGAGTTGTAAGTGTTTACAACATCATGCATTACAGAGAAACTCAAGTGGCTTGTGTTGCCCTAATCATGCATCATGTCATATTCATAATCATTATATATTGTCATGGGTTTATGGAAATAGCAAACAGTGGAAGTCACTGCAGACAATAACTCAGCAACATGTCACGTTAAAATGAAACGTTTGTCCAAAGAAATGTATTGTTTGAATTTTAAAGTCATTGAAACAGTATATTAGGGGTTATGGAGGATCTTGGAAGTGAAACTTCCTCATAGATCACTGTTTATGCCGGGTTGTGCTCTAGCAGAGCCCAGTGATCCTCGGTGACCCAATTTTTACACTCGGGCAACCAGAAAATCTTAGTTTTTTCATTCAAATCATAATTATACTTCTTTGCTGAGTACCATAAATTTTACAGGTTTAGAGTACTGGGCTCTCTTCCTTTTTCCTTAGAGCACAGACTTATTATGTTTTTATTGTCTTTAACCCCCTGGCAGTGATTTTGCCAATCATACTTTTTATGGGTTTTATGGGTGATTAACTGACTATTCAAACCATGTCACTGCCGGGGAAAAAAAGAAAATTAACATGTCCATAGGAAAACATAATTATTGCTTCAGTTTTCCAGTTAAGATCCATGAGCTTAGAACTACTTTTCATTCAAAATGTGACAATTTACTTGCCTATAGGGAAATTTGTCTTGAAAGATGATAGCCCTTCTCTGATGCACCACTATGACATTTTTTAGTATTATCAGCTTAAAACTTTTGTGACACATATCTTGGATTTGTTATATCCAAAGTTGAGCTCTATAGTATTAAGTGAAAGATTTTCTCTTTTTGTTTTGTTGAATTTCATGTTAACTTGCCTATAGATGACTGGGTTGAGCTGATTCAAGTGGTAAAATGTACCGCTTGAATCAAGTCAACTTAACCATAAGGAAGTTAACTTGAAACTCAACAACAAAAAATATTTAATACTTAATTGCAATGTAATACTCAGGGTTTTTCCTGCTTTTGGATTGGTCAAAGTTGTTTTTTTTTTATTATTTCAACAAATTGAAAATAGCAAACTTGTTTGTACATGTTCATCTTATAGCTTTAATTAATGGCCACTTACTTATATGCTAGTGAATAATAATGTCTTTATTAAGAAATAATACTCAAATTACAATTGCAAGCTAAAAATGCAATGTTAGTGTGTAAGAAGAAAAAATGATTAAGATAAAATTGAACATCACAGAAATATCATATGATTGAGTTAATAAGATTAGGTTCCATCTTTACGGTCTAAAAATGTATTGTATTATATAAATATCTTAGAACAAATAAATAAATATTACTAGTTATTGTGGAGACTATACTTAGAGAAGGTGACACTAGCCAGTTACAATAGGAATGTACATGTATAAGTGCACTGCTTAACAGTAGGTTTTGTAAAGTTAAAGCTAAGCTCGAGGTTTTGATTTTGCAAGTACCGGTACTACAAAATATAAAAGTTTCAACTGATAAAATTATTGACGCATCTAGTTTTTTCTCTGTTTTGGAGAAGATTTGAAAGTTCTCTGCTGCCTGACTTGTAACCAAAGCCCTCTTTCACACCCAACCCATATGTATGTTGCAATAAATATTAAAATAATAAATATTTTAATATTTCAAAGGCAAACCAGTGTGAATAATTGGGTTCATGACTTTCTGTTAAACAAAATCACTTACATACAGATGGGACAATATTCGTCTATTCTACGGAGAGTAATTTTGGGTCTTTTGGTTAGTAATTTACATTAATTAGCAAATTAAGGATCCCAGTATTTTTCTGTTAGAATATTTATAGTGAGGCCACATCTACATTTTCATTCATGAAATCATCTTTTAGTTTTGCTATAGAATTAAGTTCATTTGGGAAGGTTGGGGTGACATACTCAGCCATGAAAATGATGTCATTTATTTAAAGGAGAAATTTTGACAGGGATAACTGAAGAAAATAATGGCCATTTTTCCAGGAAGTGATGTTCTTATCTTTATGAATGAAAATTCATGCCTTTCCTTCCCTAGGAGTAACCAGAACTGGTTGCGACTCGACAGGCGGGTTTTAGATCATGACCTTCCAAGATTTCAGGAGCCTGTCTTACTTATGTTCTGTGTCAGGTACGAAAAGTGAGATTACACCTTTATAAAAGACTGTTCTTTTGAACTTGGATAATGTTGTTTAAGTTGGTTTTCATCTCTGCTGCGAAAGCAGCAAAGAATTGTAAAGATTGTTAACCTTTGAAATTATTGATAATGAACACTGTATTTCAGCACTTGTGTGTACATGTGTTGTTGGTCATTTAATGTTACCTTTCCTAATGAAATTAGCAATTAATTTAGATGACAGATTCTCCAGAAGTCACCTAATAATTAATTATAGGTCACTCTTGACAGGGATTTAAAATGCATACCCCAATATCCTTGTTTTATCAACCGGTTAATTGATGTATTTCCTGTGGATGAGACCCCACATGTGGGATGAATATTCATGCATCTGGAGATTTGCTTTCCCTGTACCCATTTCCTCTATAGTACATTTTGAGCTTGAAGCAGGAAATCGGTTAGGGTATCTGTTGTAGGTATCTGTTCTCAGGTTAAAACAGAATACCTTTGTCTGATATAAATAGCTAGGGCTAAGAAACAAAAGAAATTGGGAGTAAATCTCTGTTTAATACTTGTTTAACCCTGAGAGTGGAACACTACACTTCTAACCACACCAGACATGCCCTAATAATAGAATGATAAATTGTCTGATGACTTATCCTATTAGGCGAGGTTAATAATGAACAGTTATTGAGTGAGGTGTTTGTGATATCCAACTGGTGTGTGGAGTCAAGCTGCCGTGCTGTCTTTAACGGCTGGTGGCTAGGGATTTCCCCTGGCTGTCATGAACATGCCCTCTGGGCCAGAACCAAAAAAACCCAGTGTTCTTATCAGACCACGGCATGGCCGCACTTTTTCAGGAAATGCTGCTCTATAAGTAGCCCAAAGGGTCCCAAGGGCGCAAAGAATGAAAAAAAAAGCTTATTACAAAACATACGTACACATACGTACGTTTCCTTATGATATAAGCCAAAATTTAATTGGTTATGGCATCTTTACTCTGACTCAGAGCTGTAAAACGTTGAGTTAACTGTATGTAAAAATTGGATATTTATTATCTAAGAAAGTATGAAGGGTTTACTCTGACTCAGACCTGTGAGTTAAACTTTGAGTTAACTGTATCTAAAAATTGTGACGCAAATTTCTTGCTCATGACCCGGGGACCACAGGACCCATAGAGAAACTAAAAGGGGGGTGGAAAATCCTGGTGAGAACACTGAGAACCTCCTAGCTGTTAAAGTCCAAAGAAAGTAAGTTTTACAGTTTGCCATTCGGGCAAACTGTAGATAGCATGTACCAGCCCAAGAGTCATTTTAACTTCCCTGATAAACATTTTTGATGAGCAGGATTGATAATTTGAATTGCCCCAAAAAAATTCGCTTAAGCATTGGGCAAGTTAAGAACAGAATTCACCAGCCCAATCGCAAAATCCACTAACCCTGAGCTATCAAACATGACTTTCTTTGCACACTGAGCTGTTGAAATCCTCATCTTCTAAATAGATATATGTTACAGGTTAACGTAGTAAATTCAGGTTAAAATTTTTCAACCTACATACAGGTTGATTCTCAATAGAGCGTTTTCTCTCACATTGCACTCATCCGTGCAAATTTATTGGAACAAAAGAAAGTGTTTACATAAGAAAAGAGTTCAATTCCCACAGGATTGGTTAATAATTGGAACACCAACATGGCTGCAGTTCCATTGTTTTGGAACACAAATATGGCCGACGTGACATCATGTGAAAACGCTCTATTTTCTTTATCTCTTAGCCCTAATTATTCATGAATTAGGGCTAAAGATAAAGGAAATCGATAATCAACCCAGAATTAAACAATTTTAACCTGAATGTAATTTTGAATAAATTGTAACATATACACCACAACTTGATGTTTTAGTGACAGCCAATAGCCCTGCAGTTCTGTTTTATGCTACAGGCCAAAATTAAATTCAGGGCCCAGTTGCTCAAAGAATGCTTAGCGTTAACCAGCGTTTAATACCTTGACAACGTATTGGTTTTGATACTGCTTAACCAATGATTAAAGCTAACCATGCTTTGGGCAACTCAGCCCAGGTTGATATCGTTTGAACCTAGACAATAATTTTGGTTGAGTCTCAATCCTTTGTCTTTTAGCCTTAATTATTCATAAATTAAGACTAGGAGACAGGAAATTTGGAATCTACCTACATGCAGGTTAAAAATTGTTACCCGAATTTAATTTCCACTGTCAACATATGCATGTCTGTGTATTTTATGTTTGAAGAGGATCTTTGCTACTTGTGTGCTCTTTAAGCTTCTTGAGTATATTTTGGGGTTCAATTTTATCCTTGGTTTAATTATATTCTGCTTTGTTTGTGGCTATAGTAATGTATGAAAATGAGTTTGAAACAAAAGAAGGATATATGTAATTTGAACCTGATGTTTACTTTAACCCTTTTTTGTTAGGTTTTTTGTCCCAAATATTTTAATCCTGAAGGAATCAACCACCGTAGAACTTTTTTTCCTTCAAGCAAGAATTCTTATTTTTAAGGTATGATTTTAACTTTGCATTTATTACCAACCACTCAGTTTAAACTGGTTTTATGCATTCTTAGGTTCCTCTAAGTTTCCTCTTTAAAATTATCCGATTTCAGTATTTTAAAATTTATTATGATTTAGCGTATAATTTGTAGCAATGATAGTTGTTGCTTTCCATTTAGGGAACAATTCAATGTGACAGTGAAACTGTTTTTGAACTTGCTGCTCTTGCACTTCATGCCACTAATGGAGACTTCACAAGGTTTGTTGTCATGCAATATCGTTATTTGTATGATTGCCAGAAAATTATTTAGAGTGGTGACTTATATTAAATCCTAAGATTTTCCGTCACTTTTTTGTGTTTGGAGTCCCCAAAGACACCTCAAACCAATGGAGGAGCAGTGGGGGTCCTAAGAATGACAGTGCCCCACGAGAAAGTTGGTTCCCAAGCTTCTGCAAGGAGTTCCAATGTGAATCCCCAATCAGAACACTGAAAAAGCATTCTTGTTGAGAGCTATTCAAATATTAAGTGCGGTACTTTTGAAAAAGGAGTCAGAAAAAAAGAAGTTAAAAAGTCTCTTTTTATTCTCAAGAAAAGAGTTTTGCAGTTTTACTCAGTTCTTAACTAAGTTATTAATAAACTAATGCCCAAAAACTTGGTGTTAGAGAGGACTCGCATGCTGTTTTGCATCCCTTTTTTGTTTTTCAGTTGAACAGAACATCTCAGACATGTATTCATTTGTGCATCAGGGAAAACCCTGAAATACAAAGATATATTTTGCTCAGTTTTTACAGTGGGAAAAGTGCATTTCAGCTAGGCATTTTTTACTTAGAATTTAGCAGGGATATATAAACCCGTAACTGTCAGCAGAATCGATAGGTCTAGAGGATTGTGGAGTAAGCATAGTATAACTCTTTCACAGTGAAGAAACAGCAAGAGCAGATCTCCGGAAACTTCCTGTCCTCCCCATGAGAACGCTGAAAGAACGTCCGTCAATAAGTTCATGGTGAGTTCAGTTGAAGTCTGTCAAGTCTGTCAAAAGGAAAATAGAAAGGAAAATAGAAACAAGAGAACTTCCTCTTTGTACAATTTCCTGCCTACAAATTGCATACACCTGGCAACTTGAAATCTTAGAGATGGCCCTGATCTTCTCCCTGCCAGCTTTTTTCTGCATTAGTAATGCATAAATTTATTGAAACAGATATAACTACCCATTCACCGACCAGTCACAGTGATTTTTTTACTTCCTGTGTCCTGTGTCTTTGACGCATAAAAATCCCTAAAGATGCAAAATAATTTGCGGCACGTGTCCCATAGGACGCAAAGATTGATAGCTAGATCTGAAGATCTTTATGTAGAATATCCTGTTTGTGTGATTTCTGTGTCTGTTCTTGTGGCTGTTGCTGAAGGATGCTTATTTCTTTTAGTCTTTGTTGTGCTTTACAACAGAAGGAGTATATTATCATTTCAGTAAACTGTAATACAGAGTGTTCGAGTCTGTCTTCAGACTATCTGTGTGTTGCAAAAGACCCAGGGACTCATAGTAATGCATAAATTTATTGAGGCAGATACATCTACCCATTCACCAGCCAGTTATTTGAACGATTCAATTATCCTCAGAGGATAATGTCATGTTCTTAAATGTTTTTTTTTAGTGAAGATAAAGTTATAGCATATTACAAAAAGTCTGCTGGCCAGACAAGAGGAGAATCTGTTATAAGGTAAACTATTTAAATTGATGTCCAATTAAAAATTTACATGCAGAAAGTTATCATTAAAGTATCTACCATTATTAAAGCACTTCTAATCCTACCACTTAGGTATCTGTGTATTTTTCAAAGCTTACCCACATATGGTGTACATTATTATGAAGTCAAGGTAAGGAAATCATTAATTCTAATGTTGGACGTTAACCAATCTTCAAAACACATTAATAATTCTCACAAAAATAATACAAATACTAATCTTCAGTAATTTTGATTGTCTTTGGCTGAGCTTTTATTTTTAATATTCTTAGAGAAAAATAATTAGCAATGAAAAAGGTACTGATTATTTGTTAAAAAATGGAGATGTTAGAGAAATTTTTAAAGCCAGTTAATACTCGCTGTTTATGTTTTAAGACTCTTGGGTTACAAATCGTGTTTTAAACTTGTCAAAATACCCCTTTTCATTGAATAAACTATACATGTACACATGTAGCAGTCAGATCTTTGTGAATTTAAACTAGCTTTAGGCACTCACGCATACATGTACCATTGTTTTTTCACTGTAGGACAAGAGCAATATGCCTTGGTGGCTTGGACTTAGTCCTAAAGGAATTGGTGTCTATGATCATGGAGACAAAATTAAGCCCAGAAAGGTACTCTTGAAATATTATTGCTCTGCTTAATTAGAGGATCTTTCGACATACAATTTGTAATGCAATTCATTTTTACAACAGATTTTCTTGTGGAGTCAGATTGAGAACATTTACTTCCGGGACCGTAAATTTTCTCTTGAAATAAGGGACTCTTACAGGTTAGTTGTGTATTGAATGTAGCTGAAGAAGTTTGAGGACTAAATTATTATTGTTCAAGTACTGTTAGGGCCTTTGAAATCATCTAAACAGGCCATCTGATATTACGCGACGGTGCGATTTTGGAACTATTGACCTCAAATCGCATCTGATCGCACAATTTGAGGAAAATTGCATAATTTGTAAAAAAAATGCTAAATTCAAGTAAAGTAAACAATGAATTCTAACTTTAATGAAACATTTTCCCAATCTTAATGTTATTTAAAGTGATTTACCACTAAACAAAGCCTTGCAAGACATCTGAAACCTTTGATCGCAGTATCTGGGCAGCCATTTCGATTTTAGAGACAAGCAGTTTGGTCAGCGGTGTAAGGGCATCATGTACTATTAAGCAAGTGTCCTTTTTCTTTTCCGTGTCAAAATAGTCGGGAAAATTTTACTATTTTGTTTTAAAATAGATTTTTTATTGTTCCTTTACATTCAAATTTCCCGTTAAACAACATTAAAGTGGTTTTTCTCCTTTGAAACCTGGTAAAACAATGTAAATTAGCCCTAAAAAAATCACATAATTTACCACATAATAGTCCTATATAACAGGCGGACAAATTTTACTATTTTGTTTTAAAATAGATGTTTTCTTGTTCCTTTACATTCAAATTGCCCGTTAAACAACATTAAAGTGGTTTTTCTCCTTTGAAACCTGGTAAAACAATGTAAATTAGCCCTGAAAAAATCGCATAATTTACCGCATAATAGTCCTATCTTATCGCACAATCTACCCTGAAAATATTGCACAATTTCTGATTTTTTATCTCACTCTATCAGATGGCCTGCAGGGCTGGAACTTGGCGGTGGTCTACTAGCCAAATACCATTATATTTTGATTTTTGGCTAGTGGATTTAGCTCATTTACTAGCCATCTTGGCTAGTTAATTTTCGCCCCTGTAAATAACATAAGCCTTGAAATGTTTTCAACATTTTCCCAGTTGATCCGCACCTTCTAGTAACCTCTTATTTCATTCCCCCATTAATAACTGGCATGAATAAAAGAAAGAAAAATAATTCTACATAAGAATAATATTTGTTAATTCGGTTTTCAGTTTCGCATTTATTCGCTGCCATCTTGAAATTTGGTATGACCAGGGAGCATGGGCCAAGCCGTACCCATGATGCAAAGCTAGCAAAAAAACAAATGTCCGCCATCTTGAAATGCAAATGTACGATCACAGTCCACGCGTGATTGTCATGGATATTAGGGCATTTCTGTTGTCAAATAAAACAACTAAAGGTCTAAAGAGAGCAAGTGATGATTCTGCTAGAGGCAGTGTGTCTACATGTAAATCTTCATCAAAACGAAAATTTTTTCGGATCTGGCTGAAAGACTTTCCATGGCTCACATACGATGTTACGAGTTCAGTAAAATTTATTGTTGTGTTGTAACTAAACATACAAAACAAGATGCATTTAAATTCTTCTTGTGTTGCAGTTTTTATTCACGTTTGATAAAAACAGGATTTTTGACATTTTTTTTATTTTATGCTGGACAGAAGTGCCTAGACTAGTAGAAACACGTTTATGGCTAGTAAAGCCCGAGCATGTACTAGCCATTTGACTATTAAGTTCAAAAGTTAAGTTCGAGCCCTGGCCTGTCTAAAGGTCACAATTTTTCTTTTGAAAACATTTATCCACACTGGAAACTATGTAGTCTTAACAGGCTGTCGCATCTGTCATACTTAATAAAAAGAATAATGGCTTTACAACAAATGATTGACAAGAAAAACATGTTTTCATTTATTTAGTTGATTGTGTCCAGTTTTTACCTGTGACAAATTTTGTCCGTAGTACCTTTGAAGATTGTCCCATCTGGGACAAAATATATAAAACCGTGACAAACCATATGCATTTGTTAAGCTTTGGGGATGACAGAGACAGAGAATTTGTCTAAAAAGCTCAGGTTCATGGTTCAGTGCTGCTCATTAATCAAAATGTTGTTTTTCTGCCGGGACGTGCTGTATCTTCTATGCAAGCAATATGATCATGTCATAATGTTGTCAAAGAACCAAGCTGCACACTCCCCTGACAGTCACTTGATCAACTTATTTGCAAATAGCTGTAAATTCATCAGCCCTGGAATAAAACCTTCCAGTCAACAATAAATTCAGCGTTGGTAGTGTTGGCATAATCCACTAATTTTTTCTGCGATTTTAGTACTTCTCCATCCTACCTCAGGTTGCTCTGAAATACACTTGTAGTTTGAAATACACTCTGAGATCGCTGAGAGACATGTAGTGGGATTATTAAACAATAGAATTAATAATAAATTGGAAAATAATTTCATTAATGAGCATGTGCTGAACCGTGAACCTGTCCCTTAAACACTGTTAAGAAGAATCATCAATGCTTTTCCTATTCTGCCCATAAATGCAAAAAATTAGTCAGATGATCTGTAAATAAGATGTAAACTTGAGTTGTAAAAGAACCATTTTAAAACTTTTTTGTGTAATGCTTCAGCTCAGTTATTTTTTCACTCTGCATGCTTTGATAAACCTCTTACAACCTTTTGTGATTTTCCATATTCCAGATATGAATTTAAGGACAGTAAAGCTTGGTATGTCGCAGTTTGTGGACATCCTTGTTAAAAGTCTTTTTGCTTATGATAACTCATCTGTGAATATTGCATGTATGATAAACATATAAAAATTTTATTTTAAAATGAAAGTAGAATCTGTTATTAAACTTACAGTCAATACACCGTGAATAAAAAATACACCATGAATAAAAAATTATGTAGTCCTTTCATTTACCAACTAAATTCAGCCAAACATGAATTACTATTAAAAGAATAGATTAAGCTGCACTCATTAAGGTGCAGGTCAGTTCATGGTTCAATTTCTGTAATAATTCCAGCAATGTTTTGTCTTTAATTTTAATGCCTGTGATGGCTTATCTGTGGACTTAAAGTTAGAACCAACTCTTTCAGAGTAAAATCATGTAAAATGGATGCGTGGGTTAGAATGTTATAGATAACTTGAACACTGGCCCTTAATTTCATGTTAAAATGATAATTTTTCGTCAAGTAGTAAGCTCCTAACAACGTTAAAACCTTAGTTGTGCAGCTAATTTGCAATTTATTATAACCAAATCCGTAGAACCTTCTTGAGCTGTGCTTAAGCATGAAAGTATTAAATTAATGTACTGTGAACATAATTGTAAAAAAATTGTTTTTTAACTCGTCAGGTCAAATACAATAACTCGCAGACCAGGTGCAGGGAGCATGATGGTTCATGCTTGGTTTTCAAGTACCGCTGCGTCAGCGAAAACTATGTGGACAATGGCGATAAGCCAACATCAGTTTTACCTGGACAAGAAACAAGTAGAGGTGAGAGCAAAACAAAGCTGACTGTGTTTAAATCCTTGTCTCAAATCAGATAATTAGATCAGTAGGTAATAGTGATGTTGGGCTCTTGTCTCTTGATCTTAAGTTACACTGTTTATATCCTTAAAACGGATTGAGAGTGCTTGTTGTCAAACGCAGTACATCAATTTTTTTTTTTTTTCTATTTCTGCCTAAAAATTTACTTGTCAGCAATTCTCTTTTTCGCCATTTGCACATTTCCCATAATACACCTCCCCACCCCTGCCGAAAAAAAAAAAAAGTATAATCATTGTCTTCAGTTTCTCTTGGCGCAACCGTAATACCCAGAAGAAATTAACAGCAATGGTTATGCAAAATTTTTGGGGGGCACAAAATGTGTATTATGGGAGATGTGCAAATTGATGTCAAATTGTTATATCATTTTTGGTGGTCAGCATAAGTGTTATGGCTGCAACCGTGTTGTGGCAAATTTCATCAGTCCTTTTACATTGTATTTGTGAAGTTGTAATCCTGCGAGTGCACTGTTGCAGGCTAGGGTCACGTTGCGTAGAACTCTTCGAGACATGGCACGTGAGCTGTCACTGTCCACAGGCTCTCTCCCATCTTCAACTTCAGACAGCCTAAGCACAAAGAGTGACCAGTCCCATAGTTTATCAAGCCTGAGCATCAATGGAGGTAAATTTAGTCTTGTTTTCTGTATTCTCGAATACTTCCCTCAAACAGGGTAACTTTGGAAAACAAAACAATCTACACTCCTCCCCCCTCCCCTCAGTCACTTTTATTATGTTTTCCTGCCATCTTTGCCTGTGTTTATGTTGTGGGTAAAATCTGTTCTCAGCTTAAACCAGTATTCAATCTACAGCTGTAGTTTGATTTAGAACTTCCTTTTTTTCCTAGCCCTAAATATTCATAGCAGGGAAAGGAGACATAGGAGACAAAGGAGCTCCTGGTTTAACCTAAAAACGTATTTTACCCTGACATACATGTATCCTCTTCATGGTAAATAAAACCCCACCGGATAAAAAGAAAAATGCCTCGGAAGTTTGAACGTAGTGCACCTCTTACCACTCTGAAGAATTTTAAAATAGGGGTGAAGTGAATAAAAAAGTAACTCAAAGAGACTTTAAAATAGTGACTGCAAACAGTTAGTAGAGGTCAAGGTTACGGTAATTAAGGAAAACGAGGTTTGGGACTTTGTCTCAAATAAACATAAAATAGCTTCATTACTTGAGTAATGTGTAAACTTTTCTTGAATGCTCTTTTTCTTCTTACAGGTGATAACTTGTCTTCTCTTCCCAAAGCTGTAGATCGTGAGAGGTTAACAGCTTTGGCAGCAAGAAAGGAAGCTCTTTTGGAAAAATTGTCAGATAAGATGGATGAACTGAAAAAGTTGTGCATTCAAGAGGCAGTAAGTGTTTAAAGTCTGGTTCCCTAGGTGCTACAAACCAGCCCCCAAGAGTCATTATTTTTTTTGTCTTTGTACCATGATAAAGGTGATAAATTGCCCGTAAACCTTACAAGAACAATGGAGCAAGTCATCGTTTCATTGACGTGGTAGCGCTTATGCTTGTCACTCTTCTCAATTCTGCTGAATCTCTCCATTTCTCTTGGCTCTATTCTGTCACAAAAAAATTGCAACATATTGATAGTCAATTGTTTTCATCTTTTTAGGTTCTTTCAGCTTCCTCTTGGCTGGGTAGAAAAAAACAACTAGTTTCTCCCCACCCCCAGCAAAATAAAGAAAGAAACGGATAAATGAAAATAAAATAGAATAGAACGATAATGAATAAAGTGAAGCCTCGACAGAACGAGGGGCCAAGGAACTGGCAAAACATGTTCGCTACTACGAGGTTTCGTTATATCGAGGTTCTTTCCCTCATAATTTACCACATTGTATTACTGGGGCGAGGAATATCGTTCGTCATACCGAGGACTTTGTTACATAGGGCGAGTTATTTACACGTACTTTAGCCAGTGTTTAACAAAACCGCATTCTAAACTATTTTCAACTTGCCCAACGGTTTTTATCTAAACACCATTTATTGTGAACAGTTTTATGAACCATGTAGAGTAGACTAAAAAGCGATAATCATCTTCTTAAAATAACTCTCTAAGGAAGAGATCTCGAGGTGCAAAGCGTTGTTAAACCGCGGCTTAAGTTAGACTTTGTTTAAATAACCGACCCATAGAGTTTCGTTATAGCGAGTTCCCACTACTGTATATAAAAAGAGGACAAGGACTCTAAGTGTGTGCCTGGAACTGTCTGAAGTTTTTAGAGTGTTAATCAGACTAAAAACGACCATTAACACTCCGATAGCTATTTTGAAAGACTGTGAGCCAAATCCTATTTTCTTTCGTTTTGGTTCCAAGGAGCTGACGGGCGAGTATCCTCCTGAGACACCATATACCCCTGGAACGCCTCTCCCACCCATCAGACGGAGAGTGCGGACCGCCTTTGAGTTTTCTGAGTTCATCATCAGTGGAGAGAATGATAAGGTGAATAAACTGATCATCATAGACTCTATCTATCTGAAATAATGAATATATGAATTTCATATGTTGGAACCGCGGAATGAAGAAATAAATGCAATGAAGATCCCCGCGGTTAAAGACGCAACTTACCCGGGGAAGATGAAGATTAAATAAGTTGGATAAGCTTTGTCTTTAACTGCGGTGATCTTCATTGCATTTATGTACTCTGTCTGTTCTTTAAATGGCATTGAATTTTTTTTACGCTCGACAATCACTTGGGATCCACAAACTTTAGAACTATTAAACTAGTGAAACTATATTTGACCAGCAAACTCCGATGTCGCTCTGCCTCAGTCTGTTTGTCGTGTCCCTGGTTTACAGTGATTTCCACCTTTAAAAACGAAGCCTGCCTCTCCCACCGCAAGGTTTTGTGTACAAAGACTGCATTTAAATAAGCATTCTCGGTATAACCGACGAAACGCTCACCCAGTACTGTTGATGCCTAAAAATCCGCACGCACCTTCGACATTTAGTGCAAAATCGTTTTGCAAAGGTAAATTTTCGCATTTTGCTCTGAGGGAGAACTTGTATTCAAGGATCTGCAATTCGGCTAGTGATGTTACTAAATTCCATATTGTTCAGTATATGTGAGTTATTCGAACTGTAAATGAAGTGACTTTGGCTTACTATATTAAATTTTGGAATCTTGGAATGTTTCTATATTGATCTCTGCTATTTATTTCCCTCTGTCTGTCTTCAAGAACGAGGAAATCAAGAAAATGGCCAGAGAAGTTGAGATCCAGACTCAGATCACTAATGCAGCACAGGTATGAAGAACAAAAGAGAATAGTGAAACATGTTGATTGTTCACGCAGCAGAAAAACGTTTGGCCATTTTGTATCGTTCGGACTTGCAAATCTTACCAAGCGATTAGCGATTTTAGGACGCAAAGCAATTTCGAGCAATTCACCACTTTAGAAAGGAGAAGGGAACTGCAGTGGCGGATCCAGGGGAGGGGCCCGGGAGGACGCCCTCCCCCCCCTTATTTTTAGACCAAACTGAGGCCCGAAGGGGCGAAAAATATTTTTTTGAGACCGCCCCCCCCTTCCTTATGTGAAGGTAAACTGGAGCCAAAATGCGTCCCGCAATTGATTCTGGGATCGTTACTGTAGACGCGCCGGTGGTCAGCTATTGGCCAATTTTTTTCCCTGTCCCTAGTAACAGTCCCAGAGGTGTTTGCGAAGGTTAACACGGCCCAGCTTCCGGCGTTAGGTCAGCATTAGATCCCATCGGCCTAAACCCCTTTGGACACCTTATTAAGTTTACAAAACGTAGTATTCTTGATTGCCTCTACACTTCACTTAGATAAAATTTCTAAGTTTTTTTGGCATTTCTGCTCAGCCGGGAAATGTTCATGAAAGGGTAAGTCTCTTCAATTTTTAACGGGAAAAAAAACAGAAGAGTGAGAGTAAGAATGGAACCCGGAGCGTAGTGAATGCAGTCCATCACCTATACCACTACGTTTGCTGGCGAGCATTGGTTTGATTTGAAGCTATATGAAAACAACCCTAATCCTAAATAGAAACTAACCGTTTAGAGTCGGTGTTTAATCCTAACCAGTATTGTTGCTTATCCCTAATCACTTTAGTCAGTGCTCGAAACTGAAGCGGTAAGGAATACTATGTTGTGTAAACTTCATAAGGTGTCCAAGGGGGTTTTAGCCGATGGGATCTCATGCTAACCTTGGCGTTAGGTCTCTCCCCGATTTTCTCGCCCCAGTCTCTCCCTTTCTGTGGTAAAGCTGGCAGATACTACTTTTGTCATGAACATCATTTATCAAAATCGGAGAGTTTTCTCTTCCGGTGAATTTTGAATGTGTGTGTGTGTGGAGCTCCCATGTCAGTGGAACAACAAGTATAAGATGAGGAAGGATTCAATGGAAAACCTCGTTTGGCCTTTTTTTCATGCGCTGGTCATATTGTTTGGTTGGTTTTTGTCCAAAGAAGGTAGCATAGCGACTGTTTGCCTCACCTATTTTAATATATCAATGCGCCAATCACTGAGGCTTATCGGCTCTAAAACAATCGCGAGTGAACTCAAATTACAAAGTTATATTCTTCCTTAAATAGTCGCGCTCGCTTATGAAACCCGTTGAAGGTAACGTTTGTTCTGCTACTATTTGGAATTTCTCTGAATGACTGAAACAGATTTTCAGCAGCAGGGTAGATTCAATTTGACATCGTCAATTGCCGACCGTTGTTTGTTTGCTTGTTTGTTTGTTTATATACGCATTAATCAACAATTTAATTCATTAATTCTAGCAACTAGCGGAAGACCGCAGTGCTAATAAGAATGTGAGAAAGACCAGAAAGTTAACCTACCAAAAGTCTCTGAGAAGAGTGAGTATTTTATTTTTCCTTTTTGTTTTCCATGTTTTCATTTTCGCTTTTGTTTTATTGCATAGTTGTAACTGTTGTTGTCTCTATTCTGATTGTGCATGCCTCCTTGATCTTTCCACTCGTTCTTGTAGCTAAAAGACATGGAGGAGAATCTGAGAAGAGTTCAAAGATCTCGATTGGCTTCGGAGTCAAACCACGGTAATGCAAGTTAAGACTGGTACCGATTACAAATTAAGGGATTTCACTGCATCATCATTTATGTGATTTAGTGATGCTTAAAGTGACGTGGCAAACAGAAGAATTCCATAAGTCTGGTAAAGTTTAAGTTGGGATGTAAAAGTGAAAACTTTTCTTTATTTTCCGCGAGAAGCTGGGTACACACTGACACCTCCACGTATCACTTCTCCTCTCGGCTGGAGGTTTCTTATTCTCTCGTTTGATCGGCAATCGTTTCAGTTGTCATGATGAACCTACTTACATTGAACCCCTCATTTCCCTGATCTACTAAGGTAGTTGAATCCAAGAGAAAATATCGTAACACAGGTTATTTCACTTCAACGAAGGTAAAGTTCGCATTCTTGTACCATGAAGATAAGAGGCTGTCTGTCCTTGTTTTTGTACGCTTTTTTTGACCTTTATCGTTTCGTTCTTTTAACTTTTGACAGGTCTAAGAGATGGCAATGCTGGAATAGGTAAGTAACCTGTAGCAAGGTCAAGCAATAGCCAGAGAAAACAGGCGACATTTCGCGACGACAACACTGGTTTCCCCGAGAAATGACGTCTGAGAACCGAGGGCAGAATTCCATAGTACTAGTGATGACATGCCATTACTCAGCTCTAGGTGGTGCTTCTGATTGGTTGAAGCAAGTTTTCAACCAATCAGAAGCGCTACCCATATTGCGGTAGCGAAACGTCATCAGTATAGAATTTCTGCGCTCGTTTACTCAGTTTCCATCGGGGAAACCGTTGGTGGAGTCGTGAAATGTCGGCAATTTTCTCAGGCTACGTTCCTTACCGCACTTTGGCTAAAAACGTCTTATGTTGCACGTTGGCTGATAGCAGAGCCAGTAGTTTAAGTGAAAGGCTCTTATTTTACGTCGGTAACTCGTGAACAGTGCACATTACACTGACATGCCTGAGGCCGACGGTACTGTCATTTACCCCCTTCTCTCTCCATCAGTGCTCCCTTTAATGGATATTTAAAGCTACTTTAAGCTACACGGAAAGGAAAATTGTTGAAATAAGGATTTCAGGTCACACTTGTGCTGGAACTCGTTGAAATAAGGATTTCAGGTCACACTTGTGCTGGAACTCGAATCCTCTTACACAGAAGGCCGCTTACTAACCAACTGTGCTAATCCTTGCTGCCAGTCGCGTCATAACGTGAGTTTAATTGGAGAAAGTCCTGGTCTCAGTGGTACTGGATAAAGTAACTGAGTCAATTTTACCAGTCAATCAATAAGTAACTGGATTTTCTGTTCTTTTGAATAGGGCTTTATCGTACGACTTCATCTTCCGACGCCAACAGCTACACAAAAGCTGAAAGGTTAGACCCTCATCGCTATCGAACAAGTGCCGGCCTGAGCGTTAGTTCACGGGCGTCAAGCACTTACAGCGCGGAAAGCTTTTCAAGCGACCGGGAGTCCTACAGCGGACCCCCCTCTCCGGTCATGTCACCGTATAGGAGAGCTCCCCCGAGCCCTGCCACACGATCTTATCAGGGATTTCCAGAAACAAGACGGATGCGTAGCCCGCCCTCTAACCGTCCACGAGCGGAGAGATTATCACCCCGCGAAGAAAACTCTCGAGCAGTTCCGGCATTTCAGTATTCGGATAGCGAGGACTCGTCCACGAAGCCTTCTTCGGCTAGTTCGTATGCGAACTCGGAAGAAAATGGCGAACCTTACTGGCCTCACCGGAGGATGGGAAACTCATGCGATAGCCTAAATGAAAATCAGCGTCGAGGCCCCAGTCCCCGCTTGATTATCAGTCGCTCGGCCGGGCAGAGTTATGAGAGTCTGAACAGTGATCAGGAAGGTAGCAGTTCACCATATAGTCCAGGCCCCATGCGGACTCAACGGTCATTTTCGTTTGATGCTCGTCCTGTAAACTCAAAGCTGTCGGGAGTGAGATACCTAAATACTAGTGACTTGGGAATTGTGAGCACCTCTGGTGCCGCTGGCAGTTATTCTGTCAATCATAACTCAAAGATTCCGCCTGGTCTTTCCAGGAGAGGATACGTTTCTACTTCTCTCTCCACCATTAGTAAAGCAAACACGAAGTCTGATTCGAATTTAAGAACAGCCAAATCTCAAGTTCACATGTCTACGCCTTACTTGACAAACCCGGGATATTATCGAACTAATCGGCTTTCAGGGCCGTCAATATTTGAAGAGGACTTGCTCGAGTGGAGAGCGGCTGACGAGGCAGAGGCAACGCTGGTGTGAAGAAAAATGGATGGAAGGAGGGAAGTCACATCAAAACCTGTCTAATATCTTGCTAGCCCTTCTGAGAGCCTGCGAATCTACAGAAAAGTGCTTACGAGTACTTGCCAGTCTCTTTGAATTCATTAATAGGGTATCATAAAAAGGGATGCATTTCTCTTTGGGATAAGAATATTCCAGATCACTAAGGAAAATAAATGAAGGATTCCACAAGCTGCCTTGGATTATTGTAGAGGATTTCTACTAGTCCTCGAGATATAATTACATGGATTGTATTTCACTACATCTCGTTCATATTGTTGTTCGATATGAGCATCAACAAAGAAGAATTTTTTTGTAGTCGTTTGAATTAATTTGTATAGACATTGAATATAAAACTGGCCAAACAAGTGCCCAGCTTAAGTTATGCTAACTGCGGAGGCTCCTTAGAGCCTCGTAATCCACACCGTGACGATCTTAAAGCTTGGCATAAGGTCAGGGTAGCCGTTGGGTGAAAACCTGGAAACGTTTTAAATAATGGCACAGAAAAACGGGCCGGGAATGCAATAAACTTGGTTCTTATTGTTATTTTTAAGGTGATAGTGCTTTGTACAGATTGTAATAAGTTAGGTATATTTTTATAGTCTTTTACGTCTTGTTATGTAGGTTACACTGTCATTTATGTTTAAAATTGAGGATTGATCTGTAATTTTTTTTCTGCTCGACTCTAACCATCGAAATTCCTCCGGTACTACACAGATGTATTGGATCACGATCCCTTGAATCTGCGGCACTTGATTTCTCGTGCTGTTTCTGATTGAGAACTGAACGATAGGGAAATGTTAAGGTATTTGCTCGGTAGACTGTGAAGGATTTCGATTTGAGGATGACAGCTCAGTAGCCCGAGAACAGCAGACGTATTTCTGGTCGTCGCTTCTGCTCGTCCGAAAAATAGAGGGAGGGAGAGAAGCGACGCCCGAAATACGTCTGCTGTTCTCCGGCTAACAACTCAGTGGCTTTATCTAATTTATTTTATAGGTTGTTTCTTGGTGTTGCGGATGCGTACAGTCACCAAATGACTTAATACAAAAGAGTGAAAATATACTGAACAATTGCTTCCACCCAGCACAAAAGCCAAACAACAGTTACCACAACATCAAGAAACAGCCATTTTATAGAATCAGTTAAGCGTATTTCAGGTTATAAATATTTTAAATTACATTTTGCGTTGCAATAGGAGGTGCAATCTGAAGAAGTCGCAATAATACCGTTTTGTTTTTAGCATTACCGCTAAGTGTAAACACTACCGACACCTTTTGCTATGTTAGTCACATTTTGAAGTACATTGTATTCGCAGATACCGTAGGAAGGTACTTGAATCTTGAATTGCAACCAGTACGTAAAGTCAGCGGATTATCTCGCTGGATTTCAATAGTGTTTCCTCTCGGCGGTTATGGTCAATTCGAAACGCCCATTAATTTCAAAAGGATTCTTTTACAATAGAAATATCGGTTGTTACAATAATTATATCTTGTAAATAGCTTATGCAAATGAATATCATTTCAATGGTGTCATTTTTTAATCGCAAACGATGCCCACAGTTTTATTATGTATACGAGAAATATTTAAATAAACACTGAAGCTATAAAATTCCGCTTTACTCATGGTTTTGTCTAATTAACTCCCCCTCTCCCCAGTTAATGGAAGTTTTCTTCCGACAAAAGTGGCGTTTAAAGGAAGACATTTAATGTTAAATATCGGCTCTCTTGTGCATTTTCATACAACAACAAGAAGTCTAGGATTTTGCGTACACTGATATCTGACCACTCCTATTCCTTTAACTTTTTATTTCGGGCCAGAATCTCTGTCCAGTATCCCTGTTACTTAAGTTTAATACAGTGATAGTAAACACGGACTTAATTAAGGCGAGGCAAGTTTCAAAGGTATCCAGTTCTACTCATTTCCTGATAAACCAGCCCACATTTCGCGACTCCACTACTGGTATCCCGGCGAAATGAGGAAGGAGCGCAGAAATTCCATACTGATGTGACTCACTACCCACTGGCTAGAGCTTCTGATTGCGATCTTGCCGCGAGAGAAATTTCTTTTAACCATTCAGAAGATCAGGGTGGTGACACGTCATAAGTATGGAGTTTCTTCCCACGTTACCCTGACGTCATTTTCGAAGAGAAACCAGTGGTGGCGTCGCGAAATGTCGGCTGTTTTCTCAGGTTACTTCTACTTCATGCTGTAGGAATTTATTAGGGTGTTG